AAAGATCCATCCAGTACCTCCTTGAGAAATATTAATAACAATCTTTCAAAGTCAAAATCCAATGGGCACAACTAGGCACTAAGGGGAACCTACAAGTGATATTTGAGAAAGATCTTTTCAGTATTTCTGAAGAAATAGTAATTACAAACTTGCAAAGTCAAATTTCAAGATGGTCGACAATTGGCCATTTTAATTTTCTGATCAATCCCAAAATTAGCTGGGCACAATTAGGGACCAAAAACAACCTATAAATGAAATTTTAGAAAGATCTTTACAGTAGTTCTCAAGAAATAGTGATAACAATCTTTCAAAGTCAAAATCCAAGATCGCTGCCTTTCTGCCATTTTGTTTTTCTGATCAGTCCCAAAATCAAACTGGCACAACAAGGGACCAAGTGGAATCTACATTTGCAATTATAAAAAGATCCATCTAGTACTTCTCAAGAAATACCGACAACAAAAATTGCTACAGATGGACGGACAGATGGTCGACCATGGACCACGAATGAAGAGCGATTTGAATAGTCTACCATCTGATGATGAAAACACTTGAATCTAAAGATATTAGGAAACTTAAAGTATCAAGAATAAACCCTGTAGAGTACACAGATATGCAGGAAAGATTTGACAGAAAACAAATCTTACAGAGAAATTAATTGAGGATAGAAAAAGATTGATCTCACACAGGGATATTTCATTACAGCTTAAAATGATTTGGACATGAGGCAAAGGTGAGACAAAATCTATTGGGAGTTCAGATGAAGATAGGCTGATATCAGCAGACTGAATCATCAGATGATGGGGAAAATAATCTAATGGGGCTATACAAGCAAATCAAAAATACAACCTTGCATTTGGTATTTATAAATCAATTTGAACTGAAATATGTATTAATATGTTATTTGTCATGTTCATGTTGAGGTTGAATCAACATTCGACAGAGGCCTAATACAATATCCCAATGAATGTGACAATGTCCTGTTTGTTATGAAGAACATGCACATTTGAATCATTAACGATACTGTAGTTGGTATAATCATAATCACGACATCAACAATTGTGTGAGGAGATGAGAGGGGACAGTTTACAACTTTAGAAAGTGACTGTAATATCAACACATGGTCAGACTCCAGTAGTGACTGTGTAGTGATAACAGTGGGTGACAGTATCCCTACTAGATTCATGGACTGAAAAGAAGAATGTTGAGTCATTGAATTGTCTCTGTTCTCAGAGGCATCATATAATTTTAAACTGAAGAAATAATTGAAATGAAGTTATAACTGTTCGCATTTTTAAAGAGGACAACACAAGTTATTCCTAGGTTTTATGTTTAATTAAAACCAGGTGGGTGGTACAGGCAGACTGTGCTGCTGTTTAATACAATGAATTTTATAAATATATATATGTATATATATCATTATACTATCATCAAAGTTTTAAAAAAATATTTTCCTTTGGACTGTAAACTGTGACTGTGTAATGCTACCCACTGATAAAAGTTCCTGATAAATGTAAGGGAGACAACCTACAACAAGAACAATTCTATTTGTTAATTCACAAATATAGGATAAAAGCCTTTCTGTCATTTCAATGGTTTACTAGTGGTTTTTACAGCTATGTGGTATGTGAATGTTTTAAGTGTAAATATTGAAATTTGTACACTAAATATGAATTTTACCCACTTTGTAAATATTGTTTTGTATATTGTTTTATAAATGAAATACTTGTAAATTAGACAGAGATTTCTTTTTTTCAGTTTATTGTTTTGTTGATTTTCAAGAACTTTACACGGTACAATTTACATAAGTATATCTTTATCAAAAACTTTCTCTTCTTGGTTTTAAAATTTATTCTTGCTTTTATAGATACAACAGCTTTAAATAATGAAATATTTCCATCACGATTATAAGGTAGTGTTTGTGAATAGTGTACAGATCAAAGCAAGAAGGCAAAGCCTATTAATCTGCAGACTTCAAATGTTTTGTGTATCTCCATGCTACACTACCTGTAATTTATCCAACCTTACAGCAAAGACATGGGTAGTTTACAGGCTGATCAACCATCCTTACTTAGAAGTTACTATAAATAGATACAGTAAATATTTCATCATATCATTACATCTATATTTATTTACTTCATAGTATCAATTTCATTGGGGGTGGGGGGTGGGGGAATGATACTTGTGAATGAATTATTTGAAAACATTGTTCAATGAGGAATCTTATAAACATTTGATAATGATCCCTTAAGTATTTTCTGAATTACAGCAAAAACAATTCCAAGATGTCAGCTCTATGTGAAGGCTGCCCTTGTTTTACCAGACATATTTTTCTTTTGATCATTTTGAGAATTGAACAGCTAGATATCATTTCCTTGTTGGGTCCTGCCCTTGTGGTCAAACAGAGGTCAGATTCACTATTCATAAAAAAATTGCTTCACACCAAACTTGGACCTTTTATGGAAGAAGGACTTTTAAGGACTTACGTTTCCCCAATTGGGCCCACCCCTTCTGATGCACCATTTACACCCAAGAATACTTCAGATCAAATTTGGGCAATAACCATTCATTCTTATAGAATAAAACCTTCCCCATTTTGACCCCGCTATTAAGGCCTCTGGAAACTGAGAATCAATACTTACCCAAACTTTGTTCCCATTCATCCAAGAAAAATTCTGACCATATTTGGGCAATATCTTTTCATTCCCAATGGAGAAATAGGATTTTAAGGAATTTGCTCTATTTCCCCAATAAGACCCCATCATTCCTACCATTGGGGCCAGAATTCACTGTTTATACAAAAATGGTTCTGCTTCATCCCAGAATTCTAAAGACTAAATTTGGGAATTATCCATTCATCCCTAAAGGAGGAGAAGGATTCTGAAGAATTTACTCTATTACCCCTATTCGGCCCTGCCTCTCAGGCCCCAGGGGGCTAAGACCTACCATTTATAAAAAATTGATTCCCCTTCACCCATTTATGCTTCAGACCAAATCTAAGCAAATTTCAATCATTCCTAAAGGAGGGGTAGGATTATAAGAATTTGGTCTATCTTTATTATTGGGTTCTTCCCTTCCCACCCCAGGGGGCAAAGAACCACCGTTTATACAAAATTGATTCCATTTCATCCAACAAGGTTTTCTATAAAATTGGGGTAAAATACAATCATTCCTACAGGGGGAGTGGAATCTTATAGAATTTGATCTATTTCACCTATTGGGCCTGTTCCTACTGCCCCAGGGGACTGAGAACCACCATGTATACAAAATTGATTTCCCTTCACCAAACAATGCTTCAGACCAATTTGCGCAAAATCTAATCATTACTAAAGGAGGAGTAGGATTTAAAATTTCCCCTTTTGAACCTCACCCTGCAGGCCCTTAGTGGCAGAGACTAATCGTTTATACAAAATTTTTCTGCTTTCCCGAGGGATGCTTCTGACCAATTTTGGTCAAAATCCTTTAAGTCATTTATGACTAGTAGTGATTTATATGAAGAAGTTGACAGACCAACGGATGATACGGCAGTATGCCATAAACTCACTTGGTCTTTCTAGCAAGGTGAGCTAATAAAACTGAACAAGAAAATGTAACTTTTTAAATGCCAATTTGCAGTAGAACATCTATTGTATCTTAATTTAGCCCTGATTTAAACCACCGCACTCAATATTGATGTTGGCCCCCTATATTATAAAGACATTTACATAATGATGAGAAATGTTAGCTACTTGTGAAATTAATTTAACCTCCCAATCTTCCAAACTGTGACAGGAATTGGAGGTTAGAAAAATCAACACGGAACAAATCAATTTTAAATAGGTCTGTTTTTTTCTTTAAGACAAAATTCTATTCAATTAAAGCAACATCTCCTTTTTCACCGGTTGGAATTGATGCAAAGGCAAAATACAGTTTGGCAGCCATACACAGAATTTTACTGAATAATTTGTGTGGTTATGTAGTCTATTTAGGATAATGTGTGGGTGAAAAGGTGTATTTTGTCATACCGAGCAAAGTATTCCTGACATAGTACAAAAATTATACTGAATAAGAGTATTTTCTGAGAGACTAAACATGTTCATAGATTATAAACTATTTGGAAAGTAAAGAGTGTAAAATCATATATATGTATATGCATGCAAAAATCACAATTGACCTTATGACAAAACAAGAAAGGTCAAATTGATGTATTAAGTGTTAGTTTGATGTTCCTCAGGAAACTCCTTGCTGAAGTATGATGACTTTGCCCTTTAACATTTTTCACATCTTAAGTAAGCCTTTTCAGTAAGACAGAAATGTATGAAGTATGAGCCTGATGTACTCAAAGATACTCAAAATCAACATGGATCTCTGTTTAGACAAGAGATCAACAAAGATCTGGACCTTAGCACCCACCACTGAATAAGTTTTACTGGTATAACATTGATTTGATCTTTTCTTCGCTCTTGCAGTATAATAGTATGGACAGCTGAATGAGGAGAAATAACATTTGAAATTTGAGAATAATCCATTAGGTAATTAAAATCTGACATTATAAGCAATAACAGGTAATATTCAAAAGATTTATACATGCAAGTACTGCTCAAGATATATTTAGACTTAAGATTGTCAGGATCCAAGATGGTCTTAATGCCTGCCATGATGTTTAACTGACCAGTTCTAAAAGTGGCATAGGGACTCAAAGTAATAATGGATGCACAGGAAAATGAATGTAATGACGATGAGCTTAAAAATGATTGCCAACAAATCAATCTCAATTACACTCTTTTGGCAACACAGGAACCAGCATAAAATAACATTGGGCCAGGTGAGCTAAAAATAAATATCATCTAATTCTACTTATGGTATTCTTTGCCTATTATACTGACTGCCCTAGCTCTTAAAGCTAGAGACACTTGGAAAAGTAGATTACAACACATATCATAAATAAAACTGTGGCACAAACAAACTACATTCAAGAAGTCACTATTTTCTAGACTTTAATAGATAAAACGAGATTTAAATACCTGCATGTCCAGATTTCCACTGGTCAAGGGAGCACATGTGGAGCAGTGACCATGGCCGGGCAGCCTGCGCCTGGCGGTTCATGTTGGCTACCACCGCACTCGGCCCCATCAGACCGTAGTTACCTCCCTTGCTCTCCTCTGCTCCCATGGCTACAGATGAAATGCTTACATCACAGGACCTTTATACCCTTTAAAACAAACAAATAAGCCATTAACCATATGAAATGACAATTTTTTTAATCATTTTTTTAAAATGATTTTCCTTACTTTAACTCCTAATACTTTCTCAGAAAGAAAGACAACAGATTTTTGTTAAATCTGTAAAAAACACTTTGAAGATATGATTAAATTTCAAATATTTCACCATCATAGGTTCTGTATTCCATAAGAAATTTTATTTGCAATTCAGACAATTTGTACATTTTGTCTATGATATGTAATATATTATATGTAAGATATGAGAAGAAAATATTTTCTCTAAAATATGTTTACAGTACATAACTGCAATTTCTGTGTATTGTTTACATAGCAATCAAGGTAGATGTACTGGTTTACTAAGTGCTAATGTACTAAATTGAATTGCACCAATTTAAGTATGTTTACATTATCAGTATTTCCAACTTGAATTTGACATTTCTAGAAATGGGACAGTAAAAACTTTAAGAGATTCACACAGTTTGGGAGGGATGACAGGTACAATGTATAATACTTCTAATTTTTCTTTTAAACATAAATAAATCATGTGGGATTCTGAATTTAAAAGTAAATATTAAATAGGTTATTGAAACCCTATTGGATACTAATACCAGAACTGGTATTTGGTTCATGTATGCAGTATAACCACTATCTGCCATGGTCTGTTGACACTACCACCTGTGCTAGTCGTATGTGGTTACCACTATCTACCCCTAGGCTTTTGAATACCACTATCTGTCCTTGTTTGTGGATACCACTATCTACCCTGGTTTATTATACCACAGTCTGTGTTTGTATGTGGATATCACCATTTCCCCAGGTCTGTGAATACCACTATCTGTTCCTTGTTTGTGGATATCACTATTTCTCTAAGTTTGTGGTCATCACTATCTATCCTGTTTTGTTAATACATTGTACCACTATCTGTCCTTGTTTGTGGTCATCACTATCTGTACTGTTTTGTTAATACATTGTACCACTATCTGTCCTTGTTTGTGGTCATCACTATCTATCCTGTTTTGTTAATACATTGTACCACTATCTGTCCTTGTTTAGGGATACCATTATTTCTTCTGGTTTGTGATCATCAATTTTTCATCTGGTTTGTGGTTAACACTATTTCCCTTGATTTGTGCTTACCACTATTAACTCTTGATTGAATGTCCCTCTATTTCCCCAAAGTTGTGGTTATTATTATCTTCCCTGATTTGTGGTAATCACTATCCACTTTGGTTTGTGGTAACCACTATCCACCCTGGTTTGTTGTTACCACTATCTCCCTTGGTTTGTGGTAACCACTTTCCACCCTGATTTGTGGTAACCACTATCCACCCTGGTTTGTGTTTACCACTATCCACCTGGTTTGTGGCTACCACTATCTCCCCTGGTTTGTTGTTACCACTATCCACCCTGGTTTGTGGTTACCACTATTTCCCCTGGGTTGTGGTTACCACTATACTCCCTGGTTTGTGGTTACCACTATCCACCCTGGTTTGTTGTTACCACTATCTCCGCTGCTTTTCTAATACTTCTACCTGTCAGAGGTTTGTGGTTATCAATGAATATGCCCTGATAGTATGTAACACAGTTGATTTCCCCCTGAAGAGGGATCATGGTAATCATCCTGTTATGTATACACACCCAGATTGGCTTGTATTAATGCTCTAGGTCGGCTAATTATCAGACCAATATTTATCTAATCTATAAGGCAGCCATGAAGGCCATCTGTTCCTGCTAGTCTACAATGTTATCTGACTAGTCATGTTGAAGGTTCCTTGGTCTATATTTATAGTCATGGAATGCTGTAAGATCAATGCAGGGAAGTTTAATGGATGACAAGGAAACAGCACTAGTCATCTATACAATGCCATACATCTGTCTGCGATTTTTTTTTATGGAATTCAGAAATTAGCATTTCAGCATATCTACATGATTCAGTTTTTTTTAAAGAGCAGAACATCTCCAAACTGACAATGTACTATATATTTAGTTTTAATTAATCAAATCCTATGTATTATCTCATTAAAATCTATATACCATTATAAACCATAGACTTCCTCTTAGATATGCCCTACTTTGATATTACCACCAGCCTATCTATTTTGTCACATGTACCTGCCACATACTGATCGTACTATGAAGTTAGATTGACCTCTCCCACACGTGGTTTATCAAATCTAAACCATGCCAGTACACAGTCATGTCTACTTTACAATGACAGTCACTGATGCGAAAAACTCAAATGTCCCTGGGCAAGAACAAAATCAACACAAGACCAATGACATATTAAACCCCGCTATAGAAAGTCCATATTCAAAATGACCAACAGCAATCTTCGCTGTGTATGTCCACAATTTTCCTATCTAAGTGTCTCAGTGTAAGTCCTTAAAGTTCTTGATCAAGGACAGATAACTGCCAGTGCAGATCTTCGATGTCCAAGATCAAGGACAGACAATTGCCACTGCTTGTTCACAATGTCCGTGACCAATGACAGACAATCAGTTATGTGTAGTTGCTCAATATTCCTGACCAAAGACAGACAAATGGTTTCTTTTCAGATCCTCAGACCAAGCATACAAAATTGTTTCTGTGTAGGCTCTCAATATCCCAAACAAAGGACAATCATGTCTGTTAGGTCCTTAGTATTGCCCAGATTAAGCCAAGGACAGAAAATGGTTGACATTGATGCAAAAAATTGAAATGCAGGTTCCAGTTTTTCTTTCTAGCTAGCTTAACACTGATGTCACTAAAGAGATCTAAGTTTCAGTGTTAATTAGTCTTTATTGTTTCCATATGAAACCACATGTTGGCTTTAAAGTAAATTCAATGCTTACCATTGCCAGGTGTAAATATCAGTGTGTGTGTGTGTGTCTGCACTTGCGCATTGAAATTGAATTACAACGAAATCCATATTAAATTAACACAGCTTAATTGAGATGTGTTGATTCATCCATTTGTTAATTTACAGGAAGAAAATTTGCTACAGAACTTATTTTGGTGAAATTAATTTTACATAATGGATTGTAATCATTATATAAACTGTACCTTAGGCGGAGTTTAATGAACAGTATTCATAAAGAATGCATTAACTTGCAGGAAATGAAGCAGATTTTGGGTCTGTTTTAGTGCATCCTGTCTGCCAGCCCAGAATTACTAGCTATACCTTACACATATAGAGTATGCTTTGATAAGTCAGCAAATACAATTAAAGAATGTCGCCAACAAAACAATAGCACTATAGTGAACTGGTGGTGAGGCACAATCAGAATTTGGGCAATAACTAGATTATCACATCCGCAGAACTGAAAACCAGTCTGTCACAGAGGTACCACCAGAGGCCCATTTCTAAATGTCTTCACTTTTAACAGTTTTAACTCAAATGTCAGAGGTGTGGCTGCGCAAGACTTCCACGCTCTGAAATTTTCACTGGCTGCTTCAATATATATCACAAACTCATGATCAGTTGTCAAGAAGGATGCTGTAGGATTCTGTCAATACCTAAGAAGTGCTGGTTATAATTGTGCCAACCAAAGGCAATCTAAAATCTAAAGTCTGCAATATAGTGAATTTGTGATGCTTTTGTCACTTGTCTCTGTTGTGACAATTTTTATGTAATATAACATAGAAATAATATGACATCATTACTATATTGAACTGCTTATCAATACAAATGAGATGTGAGTTCTGTCTCTCTGTCAATACAGGTGAGCTCAGTCACTATACTACATCAATAGTGGTGAAATAGAGCTGTCACATCAACAAAAGTGAGCTCAGTTATTGTACAAAATCAATACAGGAGATCCAAATACTGTACTACATCTATACCCGTTAGCTCAGTAACTGTACTTCATCTGTTGAGCTCAGTAAATGTATCAAATAAAGTGAGCTCAGTTACTGTACTACATCTGGTGAGCTCAGTTACTGTACTTCATCTGGTGAGCTCAGTTACTGTGCTACATCTGGTGAGCTCAGTTACTGTACTAAATCAATACAGGAGATCCAAATACTGTACTACATCTATACCCGTGAGCTCAGTAACTGTACTTCATCTGTTGAGCTCAGTAAATGTATCAAATAAGGTGAGCTCAGTTACTGTACTACATCTGGTGAGCTCAGTTACTGTACTTCATCTGGTGAGCTCAGTTACTGTGCTACATCTGGTGAGCTCAGTTACTGTACTAAATCAATACAGGAGATCCAAATACTGTACTACATCTATACCCGTGAGCTCAGTAACTGTACTTCATCTGTTGAGCTCAGTAAATGTATCAAATAAGGTGAGCTCAGTTACTGTACTACATCTGGTGAGCTGGGTTACTGTACTTCATCTGGTGAGCTCAGTTACTGTGCTACATCTGGTGAGCTCAGTTACTGTACTAAATCAATACAGGAGATCCAAATACTGTACTACATCTATACCCGTGAGCTCAGTAACTGGTCTTCATCAACAAAAGTGAGTGCTATCACTGTATAACATCTTTACAGGTGGGTTCTATCACATCAACTGAAGTGAATTCAGTCATTGTAATACTCCAATATTGGTGAGTTCTGTCACCTTACAAAATAAAAAACTGGTGAGCTGAGTCACTTTACTACATTGATGTAGGTGAGCTCAATCGCTGTATTTCATCGATATTGGTGAACTTAGTCACTTTACTACAACAATACAGGAGAGCTCAGTCATTGCATTTCATCAATACAGGTGAGATCAGTCCCTATAATATACCAATATAGGTGAACTCAATCACTATACAAAATAAATACTGGTGAGCTCAGTCCCTGTATCAAATCAGGTGAGCTCATTTACTGTACTACATCTGGTGAGCTCAGTAACTGTACTTCATCTGTTGAGCTCAGTAAATGTATCAAATAAGGTGAGCTCAGTTACTGTACTTTATCTGATGAACTCAGTAAATGTATCAAATAAGGTGAGCTCAGTTACTGTACTTCATC